CCTGCATTTTCTCAGAGAAAATGACACACAGATACTTTTTCTGAAATTTTTTATTGGAGTTGCAAGTGTAAAGTTACAAAGACATCTGCTTCCCCCACCCCCACTTCCAATCCCCCAAATCTAAATTAATGTTCAATTCAATTAACAAGCATTTATTAAGCGCTTGCTATGTGCCTACTGGGGATACAAAAACAAACAAACAAAAACAGTCCATGGCCTCAAGGAGTTTACTTTTTCTCTGGGAAAGACAAGATGTAAAAGACAGCTTGGGGGCCTGGTAGAAAAGTGCAGAGAGCCTGAGGGTTCAACCATTTATTCCTTGAAGTCTTTTGTTTTCCAAAGATCCCTGGGCCCAGTTTGATCTTGTCTCAAAATAATCTAGGATTACAACTCCTATTGGAATAATCCTAGGATTTAAGACTTTGAAGATCAACCCGAACAAACCTCTCATTTTACAGATGACGAAGTTGAAGCCCAGGCCATAGGTAGGGAATGACTTGCCCAAGAGACATAGGCAGTAAGTAATAGAGCCAGAATTCAAACCAAGGTTGGCCTTTGAAAATACAGTGACATTTCCATTACACCATAGATAGATGAGGGGCATTACTGGGCTTTTATTCTTTCAGACAGAGCTGTTATATACACATAAATTTATACATACACACATATATTCCTGCTAAGTAACTGTGTAAATAATGAGTCAAGTTCTCTGTTTTCTTTTTTTCAACAAGTACCACCAGTCACCTGCTGGAAAGACAGGCCAAAGTTACAAAAGGGACAACAATACGGAGGTAATCTAATGTAGTGGCATCAAGATTGAAGAGCACAGTAAACCAAACATAAGCATCCCTGCAGGCCACAGATTGACATTGAAAACTACATATTAACATTATCTATGTTCTATTGTGTTTTTATTTTGTTAAATATTTCCCAATTAAATTCTAATCTGTTGTAGGCCACATGCAGTCCTCAGTCAGCATGTTTGACCCCTCTGCTTTAGTATATTGGAAAGGGCACCAACCTGAGAGTCAGTAAATAGAACTAGGTGCTGATCATAGCTCTGTTGCTAATTTGTTATATGACCCTTGGGTTCAAAGGATCATAGATGTAGAGCCAGAAGGGGACTCAGAGGGCACCTAGCTCAACCTTGCCCATTTTGCAGATGAGGAATCTGAAGGTTAAGCCACCTGTCCAAGGTCATATGGGTAGTGTCGGAAAAGGGATTTGAACTTGTATCCTCTGATTCGAGAGCCAGTGCTCTTTCCATGTCATTTGTGCTTCTAGGATGGAATTTTCCTTCTTTGTTAAGACAAGGGGATTGTGTGAGAAATGAAAGAGTTAAGTTTCCACATAAGTAGATAAGAAATCAGCACAGACAGGCTAACTTCTTCATCTTGGGGGGGGTGACAACACAATTCTAGACACATAATGTATGTTAAGGGTGGGGCAATATAAGGAAGGGGTTACACTGTAACCCCAGAAGGGTTAGGACCAATCCTCATCCAGAAGGGAGGAGTTAGGCAATTACTAACTATAAAGCTTGCTCTGACTTCTTTACTTTCGCATTTCTCCCCTTCCCCCGAGAATCGAAAGGACGAACTTCAACCTCTTTAATAAAAAGTCTTTGAGACACCAGTCTTCAGAACTGAGTCTGGGGTCATCTTTATAACAATTGGATTTCACTGGTGTCACATTCAAACAGAACTAGACCCTCACAGGCTGCATGACTTCTTCTTGTGCGGTTGTGTCCCACTCTTCATGATCCTTTTAGGTGTTTTCTTGGCCAAGATTCTGGAGTAGTTTGCCATTTCCTTCTCCAGCTTATTTTAGAGATGAGAAAACTGAGGCAAATAGGATTAAGTGACTTGCCCAGGGTCACCTGGCTAGTGTCTGAGGCCTGATTTGAACTCAGGAAGATAACTCTTCCTGATTCCAGGCCAGGCACTCTATCTACTGAACTATCTAGCTGCCTTGCAGTATAACTTAGAAAATCACAAATTAACATTATCTATGTGGTACTGTATTTTTATTTATTTTGTATAATATTTCCCAACTACATTTTAATCTGGTTCTTTAGCACTTGGGAGTTCTATGGCCAGTGAGTTTGATACTTCTGGATTAGGTATGTTTCCTTTCATTCAAATGCTGATTTTTTTTTCACCTGCCCAAGAAGCAGTTATTTACAGAATCCTCTCACTACTTCAGGGTTCAAGCAGGCCACTTCTGATTTCCTACCCAGCATCAGTAGGGCAAATGGAACAAAACACCCTGAATATACCTTTAAAAACCTTTCCACATTTTCCACTGACCAAAGGAACTGTTCAGTCACCCAGTTCCTCATTGAGGGGGGACAAAAAAACGTACCTACTCTACTATCCTGCCATATGCTTTCATGAAACATTTTTTTGAACTCTAGGCATGAATGCTTCTTTTTTAATTGGATAGCACTAGTAGTCAGCAGGGTTTGTTTTAATTATTATTTTAATTTCACGTTGGCAGAAAGACACTGTAACATAGTGCCTTTCCAGGGAAACTTTTACTTTTGGGGGCAGTTGAAAACTTCAGTTTTTGGCTTTCTGCCTCCCAGAACATATGAGGTATATATTAGTATCCCCAGACTGTTCTTCAAGTTCTACTTTACCGCTTGGAGAATTCATGAAAAATTTCATGAGTCTGATATTTCCCCTAGGCGTGCACTTTTAAAATCTAGAGAATAGATTGAAAAAAAAATACAAAAGCCAGTTTTATTTATCCTGCATCAAAGTTTTGATTCCAAGATAGTATCCACTTAAGTACATTTTTGGTCATGTTGATAATATCTCATCATTTATTCAAATCTAGTTAGAAGAACTGCATACCAGTCCTAGAATATATATCTGTTTGCATATTATTTCCTTTGCTTTTAAAATAAACTATCTTGTAAAAAAATTACATGAGTTGATATATGCTTCTTTTCAGCCCATTACCATCTTATGTTCAACAAATTGGATTATTTTGCTCATTTTCCATACATTGTCTATATAAATGCAATAGTTCTCATATTGAATATTGCTTTTAATGATTTGGCGTCATAATGCTAAATGCTTAGCGAAAGGAAAGTAGAATTTAAAGGTTTTTTTTTTTAATGTGGCTATAGACTAAAACAACAATAATCTGAAGATTGTTGTATTCACAAGCTAGAATTTTCCTTCCTCCCAAAGACATTCACATTTGGTCCTGTTCTTTAAGATTTTCTAGTTACTGAGAATCTGAGATTGAGAGAAAAATGAGTATCAAATAAAATCTGCTAATAAACACAGAAAGATAATTTTAAATCATAGATCAATGAGCCTATTTTTATCAACCAAGATAATAAGGTAGAAATGTATAGAATGCTGGTAGATATAGGAGAAATATTTTGAATCTGGGCTACATTTATGAAGCTTCCCTTTGGGAAAGTATCATCATACAAATCTGGTAGTACTTATTTTCCCTTATTGCATTTTATTCTGAAAGTTTCTTGTTACTTATTTCAATTGGTCTTGATCTGTAACTCCAATTAATGGCATTCATCACATAGGTCTATACACTGAATTAGCTTTCAATAAGCTATTATATATATATATATATATATATATATATATATATATATATAATACAGCTATCAATACTATTCACTTTTTCCCTACCATTTAATGGAAACCACCAACCTATCGAATTCATGTTAACTGGTAACTATGTGAAGGGGTTAAAACACTACATAGGTACAGATCCGGTGGCAATTACAAATGTTACTCAAATAAAAGCCAGAACAGGAAGCCCCAAAACAGGTCCCTAAGGCAGGCATCTGTCTTAAATGATATCATTTGTCAAGTTTCCAGCATCTTGTGGTTGTGAACACAAAAAGGAGTTCTGTGTTGTACTCAGGACATTACATACTCATTAGCTAGAATGTTCCTGAAGTACATAATGCAGATTTTTTTTTTAATAAAAAGCAGCTATTTGCCATTATTGCCCTGTGCACAAGATAAATGCTGGATATACTAGCGACCATTTAAAGACCCCCTCCCCCAGTTCTACAGAAATCTTATTCTGATGAAATATGATAAGAAGCATTTTATATCAACTATGTTGTGAAACTTCTTTTTAAAAAATCTTTTCTGTAGAACATGCATTATTTGGTTTTCCTGCTGACATAGACTGAGCTTAATAAGACAGTTGTAATAAAAAGGGCCCAATGACATTTGTTTAGTTGGTATTTTTGCATGTAAAAAAAATGCCTAAGAAGTCGGGTTTCATTTTCAGAAGCAGCAGCCTAATTGTAATTAATCGTTGAAAAGCCTTCATTTCTCCATAGAGCAAGTGTATGAGAGGCAAGCCCCCCCCATGCTGCCCTGCCAATGACCTTAAGACTGACGTGAAGATGAGGCCACACTGAGAATTGAGAAATAATTTATCCACCATGATTGTTCATCCCTAGTTCCTTCCCTAAAACAAAGACTGACAATTGCACTGAATTATGGATGGTACTTTTTGTGATATGTAATACAGTCCAGCAAGGAAGGTGTTTAGACCATCAAACTCATTTCACTTAACATTAGAGATTGGGTTTGAACCATGATTCCAGAAGAGAGAAACTAATGTTGAACTGTGACCTTCAATTTACAGATCATTTTTCAAAAGAAAAAAAGTTTAAACACATTTTTGGTATTATCTGAATGGGTGAAATCTTTCATGCTTGTTTTCAAAGAATAAATGGAAACAGTACGCACTGTAGTTTCCCACTCTTGGTACGTGGAGGTGGGGGTGGGGTAGGGTGGGGCACCACCAGAGTTTCAGTTTATATTTTATTTTAAACCTGGGTGTTTGGTTTTTCCTTCTTCTTCTTACAGAGCTGAATTTAGCACATCCCCTCGAAACATAATAAATTTCTATTCTGTAGCTTAAGGGATCCATCAGTTAAAATGTTAGTCTTTCATCTTTATTACCCGCCCATTAAAATGAAAGAAACCGGGACTCACTTCAGTTTAGAAGAAGCAATTTAGTTGGTAATGTCCTTACTACTCAAGTCTTTACAAAGGGAGAAAGTGCATTATTGCTTATATTCACACATCTATCTGCATAAGAAGCAACTAAACCTTTCAGACACATACTACGTTAAATTTAATAATATTCTTTGATTAGATTATTTTATTACAACATTTTTCCATCACCAGTCATTTCCTGTACACATTTACATTCATAAAACCTGCATTTTCCCCCCTTTGTTTGTGTGTCTAAAAGCAAAGAAAGCAGAGACTCTTTCCGTTTTGCTTCAGCTGTTAGATCTGAAAGGGACAGATTAATAACCAACCTCCACATTGGATGGGGTTTCCTTGTACATTGCACCAGTAACCCTTTGCTATAATGAGCACACAAAGAACCTCACATGAGGCTGCTCCTCTTCTTCATAACTCAAAAGCGTCACAGTGGCAATAGCCTCTAGTGCTATTTGTCTTTAGTGCAGTTGTGACACTTCGGCGTGATCCATAATTTGGCAGCTATTTACCGTGACATTTCCCTTCAGTGCAGCCATAACATTCAGTGAAGCCATTATTTGGTTCCATTTACCATATAAATTGTATTGTTGTGCATGCATGCTAGCAGCTACATTAGGTACCTGAAAATGAGTAAATCTTGTAAAATAGATACTAACAGCCATTCAGCAGGAGAATTTCATTCCTCCTCAGATTGAAGGAAAGAAAATAATATTTTCAAATATAGTTACAAACTTTTCCCTGAGCAACTTTAATTATACTGCATATGATATGACAGTTACACTTGACTACCATACTTTAAAAAAAAAAATTATGATGACTTGGTAGAGATCTACCGTATTCTGGAAAGGCATTCTGAAATTCCAGCACAACAATTAAATTAGAAGCAAGTTCATTAGTGTGTTGAAGGTAAAGGCAAGTCCATGAGCTCCAGACATATATGATTTAGAAGAGAAGTACATAACCAGCTTCTGATCACATCCACTGTTACTTGCCATAAGAGGTAGGTGGCTGCAGTAAAGTGCTGGTGGTGAGTGGAAGGATCTATCCCTTCTTACTAATATCAAAAAATGGCATTTTGGGCTACCAGAACAGACAGGACCAGTTACTGATCACAGCTTCATGTGTTTGTCTTATTGGCAATATTATGATTTAATCCCCCTGCCAACATGTGGTAAATTATGCTCTTAAACAAATTATCTTTGATCATTTAAGTCCCTATTATACACACAACTCTTTAATATACTTTTATGCCCAACAAAAAAAAAATCCACTGCTATTGACTGTTTTTTTATCTACATTATTTTTCCCCTTGTGTTTTCTGTATCCTGTCATCATTTAAATGCTTGCTGTACACACACCACGTTTTCTTCTGGTGAATACAAAATCTTATGATCCTTTTATTTTTCTTGTAATTCTACAGAATATGTCCCTTATAATGAATTTTCAAAGCTATTTTCTAAAAGTGAAATTTCCCCTTCCAAACACCTTCAGGTTAAGTGTAGAAAATAATACTATGCTATACTTCAGAAGGACACTTGTGGTTACATGTATTCATTAGTAAGATAATCAGTTTCCTTTTCCTTGAGAATCTCCAAATTTATATCTGAATCATTTTTTTTATTTATCAATTTCTACAATGTTAAAAACTTTTTTTCTCTTTCTCCAGTATTAGTGACTCTCAAGGGCAGAGTGGTTTTTGCCTACAACTGCCCCTATGTATAGAGCATTCCATGAATGTTAAATGGCACCTAAGGAAAATAAAAGGAAAAAATAATCTAATGTTTTCAAAATTGTTTTTAAAATCTCAGCAAGTTGAAGAAACACTGATTAGAGGAGACTGTGCATCAGGAATCAATAGATTCCCAGAACAAATGAAGAATCTGGTATGAAACTGGTCAAGATTGTAAGTATGAAAGCTAAGCAATCAATGCAGGCACTTAATATTCTCAGCCACTGACATGACACGTTTTATTCGAACTCCTTTAAGTGAGAAAAAGAGAGAAACCTGTTCATTAACACCTTATTGCTTTTTAAAAAAATATTCTATCCATTACCAACTAAAATGAATTGTGTTTAGTAATTCTGGGGCATAAAGTGCCCATTTTCTTTCTCTTTTGATTTATATCATTGTTTTGTTTTTACAGCTTACTGTTGACAGAGTGAGGTAATTCAACTACAATTTTTCCAGTGTTTTTTCCCATGTACATGTAATCTACAGCACGGAATACAGACTCCAAGCCAGTAAACTTGCCCTCTGGAGACAAGTCTCCAAGGTCCACCTCACAAACCAGTTCTTGACTTTCATACATCTTGAGCAAGTGGTCCATGGCCTTTTGGTATTCAGAAAAGTAATGGTTCAAGAAGAAACCTTTGACACTGGCGGATTTCTTCAGTAGTTTACTTGGCAAAGTCCCTGCTTTAATGGGCGAAAGGCCGGTAGGAGTTTGGTAGCCAGAGATAAACCCAATAATTATCAAGCGCCCTTTGATAGCTAAGGCGTTGACAGCCAAGTCAAACATCTCTCCACCAACAGATTCGTATACTACATCCACACCTTCTGGGTACTCCCTTTTAAGGACAGCACCAACATTCTCACTCTTATAGTTGATGGGAAGGTCACAGCCAATAGATTTCAAAAAAACAGACTTTTCAGTAGAGGAGCAGGTTCCAATTACATGGCATTTTGCCTTCTTTGCAAGCTGCACGGCAAACTGTCCAGTCCCCCCAGCTGCGGCTGTCACCAAAACTTTCTTCCCTTCGGACAATTCTCCAAGCTCCTTTAGACTGATGTATGCGGTAGTGCCACTTATAAGCAAGGTAAGGTACTCAGGTTTCACAGAGGGTACTGGAATTGCAATTTTGGCGGGCACAACTGTATATTCAGCAAAAGAACCAGGTGTCACGTATGCCACAGCTTGGCCAATTGTGTATTTGGCACTAGCAGTAAGGCCTAAGGCTACTACCTCACCGATACCTTCAAAACCTGCATCAAATGGGACTTTAACTGAAGTGTTATAGCGGCCAGCTGAGAAGTTTATGTCAGATGCATTAACACCAACAAATCTAGAAGAAAACAAAAATAGGTTAAGATATTTTCTTTGTTAAGAATTTTAGATGTCATATCATGTGGATAAATTTTTCTGATTAAAGCTATTAAGGAAGGGGTAACCACAATATACATTCAGATAGATTTTTGGAAAAAAACCCAAAACATACAACTCCCCCCCCCAACAACTCAGTCCTCCTGTTAAAACTGAAAAGGAAATTAAACACACATTAGTACAACGGTGATTTTCAATAAAGCTTTTGGCATACTTTATAGTTTTATCAGCCTAGAAATTGTTCCACATAATTTTTAAAACTCAAGAAGTTATTTTTCCCCAGCATGCCAATTTTTTAAAAAAGAAAGGAAGAAAAAAGAAAAAAAAAACAAGCCTCTAAGTCCTCCTAAGCCTTATACTACCTAGAAATTTCATATGTGGGTATGGGTGGGAAATTAATAGACCTCTTACCAAAGACATAAAGGCAACACTATGGGATAAAACATATATAAGGAAGTAGACTTGTATTGATTTTGGCAACAAATTAATACTTCAGATAATATTAATGACAATGATATTATTCAGGATTGATGTGTTGTACAAGGTCATTGGCTGCAGCATGTTACTGTGGAGAAGCTTTAAAAAATGTTGGGAGTGGTTACAGCAAATTTTTCTTTTTGATTTCTTGAATTCCAGGGTAAAAAATAAGCAATTTGATTAATTAAATCAAAATAGTTTCCTAAGCATTTGGAATGTTGAATACTCAGTGTTTTTTTTAGTATTTTTCGGACGAAAGGGAATGTTAATTCTCTGTGTGTGTGTGTATATATATATATATTCTTTTCCCCCCAATGACAGTCATAGATATAACATGATTAATACCAGATGATTACTTTCATTTTGGTATCAGAACATAATTTAATTGGAGGGGTTTTATTTTTATAAGAATTTTTCATCTTAGTAGAGCTCATAATAAAAATATCTTGATACATAAGAAAAAAAGAATTAGATAACCAGAATTAGAAAATGTCAGGAGACAGCTCAGACATGTTACTGAAAAGTCTTAAAAAATACTATTTCCACTTCGAGTAAAATGAAAAGATTACAGTATCTGGTGGCATGCAGAAATCTCTAAGTATGTCATTTCCAAATGATTCATTTCTAATTGTCACAGTAAGCTAAACTGTCCAGGGCAAGGGGGACAAGTAATATCCAAATACAGTCAATAAACCTTGTGCTTAAAAATGCTGTGTATTTCTATATTGTACATATATAGATATAAACACTGACATTCACTTACATAATAATGAGATCTCAGAAAATTATTTCTGTTTCTGTTAGGTTGATTTTGGAAGTCAGCAGAATCCACATAGGTCTTATTAACCTGCTACTGCATTTCCTACATCTATCTAACGCAGAAGAATGGAAAGAAGTTAAAATGCCGATTTTTCCCTTTTCTAATTTGGCCCAAGATAACTACATTGTATTTTTAGAAAAGAAAAACATCTGCCATCTTACCCTTAAATTTACACAAGTTCCCAAGGTCCACTCCTACCTACTCTACTCTCAACCCCACTCCATCTCAAAAAAAAAAAAAAAGAAAAAGAAAAAAAAAGACAAGCTTCTAGAAAAGACCATGGTCCTTCAGGACATCGCAGAGAGACCTGATGAAGGCCAAGTTGAAGGTTTATTGGTATCACTGCTTTAGATTGCAAAGCAGCTTCAAGGAAGGGCTTATAGCAAAAGAGTAAGAGGAATGAATTTTGGGTGGGTTTTTTTTTTTTTGGGTGGGAAGGAGAGGGTTACTACCATTGTACCTACTGTTTCCTCCTGTTTGCCTAGTTTCTCAAAATTAACCCTTCCTAAGCCAATACTAGTTCAACACCCTAAAACCTTGTTCTAGTGCTGGCCTATTTAATACTTTCCTTTATTTCTTCAAAGCCCTAAACTAGGTGGTAGTGATTTTGATGTGAGATTCCTCCCAGGGGACAGGCAGCCTTTGGGTGAGGAAGAGAAGAAAAACAAAACAAAATTTCTATTTTCCCCACCTTTTCTCTATAACAGTTCTCCCCCCCTCCCATTTCTACTTAGAGATGAAGGTAAAAGGAGAGGGCAGAAATGAAAATGATGCAATGAAGACTCATAAAAGTAAGCCAACGACTTGGAGCTCAAGATAAGAAGGGCAAAATGGAGGCTAAAACATGTGGCTAAAGTATCTGAAAATCTGTTTGTTAGAGCCTAGCAGTTGAGGGGGTATGGCCTATGATTTTTTCGGTTTTAGCTGAAAAAAGAAAAATAAAGCAACACCCAAAACATTTATAATATTAGCATCAATATCAGGACAGTAACAATAACAAAGACAGGATGAGGTGCCAGATTTTTTTTTTTTTAATTTTACTTCCACACTAACCGTGGTGGGCACTACCCTCACTCTCCCTATCTATGGAGGGCTGCCACTGCTGAAGCTTGATCCCTAGGTAGTCCCAAGAAGGGGATGAGATGGTAAAGATAGAGATTTCAGTAGCAGAAAGAGGGCATGAGAAGATCCTCATTTTTGTTATACATCTTATTACCTTCTATCTCAAGTGACTTGTCAACCCTTTTTCCTATTACCACCCCCCCCCCCAGTAAAACTACCACAAGCTTTTAAAACAAAGAATAAAATACTTAAAAGTCTGAGCTCGGGTCTAATGAGGAAGGTGTCATGCTGGGCTGGGGTTCCATGAAAAAGGAGAAGGGGATGGGCAGGCAGTTAAGGATGCTAATGTTAGGCAGAGAGTGAGGTGAGAACCCTTCAGATTACAGATATTTCAACTCAATTCAACTCTCTAGCCCCTCCAACCTTCTCCCTCCCCGTGACCACTTCCAGCAATGATTCCATCAAGAGCCATGTCTTGCATCTTTTCTGTTCCTTAGCTGAGGGAGAAGCATGATAAAGAGAGGGAAGGAGTGGGGGGACGCAAAGAAACGGAGAGCACGTGCTGGGGGTGATGTTGAGGCAAGAAGCAGTTCAGGCAGTCCAAGCTTTTTTTTTTTTTTTTTTTTTTTAAGCCGGGTCTGCAAAACCACATGAGACTGGCAGCTCGTAAGTTTTCAGTGAAACCCAAAAGGAGAATGGGGTGAAAGGAGTGCGCAGGAAGGCACGGTGCACTCACTGTACACTCTCTGCCAGGCTTTTGACTTTAATTTTCGGTTTTGCGGCTCTTTCTTCCCGCCCTCCTCCCCCACCACACTCCAGTAAAGCTGCTTCCTCCGTGTGAAAAGATTCTTTGGGCCAGTGGGCTACCAACCCTCTTATTATCCAATCCCCATATTTTCCAATCCTCCTAGAAGTCCACCCCAGACATCCTCCAGTGAGGGTTCACCCTCCCCTCTTAGGTTTTCCCCTCCCCACGTTTAGATGATCAAATGCAGCAGCTTAAGGGAAGCATATTGTCCACGGAGAGCCCTCCCTTCCTTACCTTGCCTTTTGAGGGTAGCTGAGAGGGGTTTTGTTAGCCCACCAGCCACCTTCATTTAAAAAGTAGAAACAAGTTCAAGAGCATCAAGAAAGCGATGAAGAGATTGGGAGTAGGGGAATCGGGTATTGGTAAAGATAGAAAGCAAGAAAACTGAGGTAAAGAAATTCTACAAGGGGGTTGCAATAGTTTGCTAACAGCTCTATTTCCACGACTCCTTCCCAAATTAAAATGTGTTCATTTTAATGCGAGTCTAGCAATTTGATTGAATCGGCTTTTTTAAAAATTGAAATTTACAAGCATTAGAAAAAAGCAGGTGTGTGTGTGTGTGTGTGTGTGTACGTATGTGTGTGTGCTGGCTTTCCCCAAATAATTATACACTCTTCTTGAGTCACTCAGTTTATTTATACTAAAAAGTGTTGAACCCTTTGGTCTTGTTTACTGTGAAAATAGGGTGATCTGGCAGAGGGGAGGGGAAAAACTACTCTATTAAAAAAAAAATCCAAGACAGAAATCCGGAGCAAAAGACCTAAACACAGAAGGCAAAATAAAGTCATCCATAGAACATTTAAAAAATTACAGCCAGAACATATTTTCCTTACTGTGATCAACAAATCATGCATCAAAACTAAATCTCAACACCTTCTTTGATATTTTAACAAATTCTCTGATCAATTATGTGAAACCTCAGCAAAGAAATCGTTTAAAAATATTTTTGAAACGAAACAAACTGTTTTTTACAAAAAGCTCAAGGACAGCATATAACAAACTGTGGGTGGTGGTTTTTTTTTTTTAAGCATTGACACAGAAAAGGGCAGCAAGTGGCAGTTGTCCTCCACAATATAACAAGAGAAAGTGAAAATTGGAAAATGACTTTTATGGCATAAATATATACCTTTAGGACTTTATGTCCTCCTCTCATTCTCTTGAAATGACAAAGTTTACTGTTCTAAATCGATTTCTAATTTAAAAGCATTTCTCTTTGAATAAAGATTTTAGCTGTTTTTCAGTTCTGATGAAATAAGATGGGTAAACGGCTCACTTCCAAAAAAAGTTGGAGAAAAAAGGAAAAAAAAAAGCAAAACATTATCTTGTGTATTTATAAAAAGTGGAGAGGGGCTTATGTGTAAAATCATCAATTCCAAAGCATATTTTATAATAAAAATGAGGGCTGTTTGCATAAAATTTCAATCCAATTAACATTGTTCAGGAGGTGGATCACAATTAAAATGAACAAAATGCCAATAAATTATTAAAACTACATTTTATTTTAAAAATCCTATAGGATGCCATCTCCACTGAAATTGTCTTGCCAAGATTAAATTAACTGAGGGATTTTTCCTACTCTTTGGGGAGGGAGCAGGTTTTCCAAAGGGTCAGCGACAGTGAAGAAGAGAGGGGAATGTGTGTGGGCGGAGAGAGGGACGAATTGGCCCCTTTCTCTTCCTGTGGCAGATCCGGAGGAAAAAGTCTGTTGTAACAATTTTATTTTTTTAAACAAATATTTATATTAGTAAGATACTCTGTATTTGAGAGAAAATTTAAAAGGCATTTAATCCAAGCTGGTGACCTTCAAACTTGTGATTTACATTCCGATAAACCGGTATCTGGGATACTAAGTTACTTATATCTTAGGAACAATCCTATGTAACCCTCATTCGGCAGAGCTGTCCCCTCAATCTACTTGGCAGGCAACATCAGGCAATGCTTGAGAAGCCCCCAGGGGAAGAGGGAGACAGGAGAGGGGAGGGGTCTGACAAGGAAAAAATATACAAGTAACTTGCTAAAATTCATAGGTAAAAGGGTGATGATGGAGGGGCTGGGGTGGTTGGTGAATGCAAAACTGCAGCTTCTCCCATCTGAGAGAGACACAGCCCTTAGTAGTCTCTATGTCTAACTTCTCACCGTCTCTCCTCACTTTCATCCCCCTATCCCATTCAAAAGATGAGACTATATCTAGCCTTTGGGTAGGTGTTAATGGTACTTGGCGTTTTCAGACATTACTGTTCTCTCTCTCTACAGGACAGGCAACGAGTCAGCGTGAAGCCTCAATACATCGGGTTGAAGTTTTACAGGACAATTTAGTTTCCACTCTAAGCCTGGTTCTCATCTCTGCTTTGCTCCCATTTATAAATATATATATGCATCTGTGTGTGTGTGTATACTATGTATATAGTATCTTCTAAATTCAAGCACAAAACCACTTTTCTTAAACTTGGGGAAAATGGGTTCTCTTTAAGATCTAAAGTCTGGACATTTCATTACAAAATGAAATAAACTCATTCACTATAACTCCATTTCCAAAGTTGCAAACTTGAAAATTAATGAGAAATCTCTCCAACAACCAGACACCAGAATAAGTCCCTCACCCAACCCAAACCATTAGCCTCCACCCCTCCGGATTCTGAATCGACCGCAGCATTCCCAACGGGATTTCCATAAGTTGTACCGCTCTCTAGTCTCTAACCGTGTATCTATCCCTCTCTGACTTCTTAAATCATCCAGAACTGTTTTAAAGTCTGATACTATTGATAAAATGGAGAGATAAAAAGTCACATTAGGCACTTTAGGTAAAAGCACATTGTGTCCTCAAAATCTTAGGTGCGTATGAACCAACTTCGAGGTCGGGCTTACAGTATTTGTAACAGAGTAGTTACAGCACATTGAAATCTCCGTTTAACCCTCTCATCCCCTATAAGCCTACTTCATTAAAAACACGCAATCCCCTTAACAATTCAAAGTGCATTTCACAGACATGGAGATGTTTTATGAGCACTATATTTTCTTAAAAGTAGTACAGCTGGATAATTTGGGGATGATATAGTAGGAAGAAGCCTCCTTGTAGCTGCACAGCTTATAGGAATGAGTACCAGAGTAATGACAGTGATCGAGACCGCCGCCATGAGTGACAGGGAAAGGATGGCATTGACAGACTGTTTGGGAGTCCTCTCCTGTTGATTCACTACTTGCTAAAGGTTAGTGAGGTGGAGAAAACATCGAGGAGGGTGAGAATGGAGGGCACAGGGTTACAAAAGGTAGACACACCAAGTGGGTAACAGAGACTTTCCAAAGGATATGTAGACAACTGTAAAGCACGTGCTCACAACAAATGCAGTTATGCCCAGTGTATTCAGAAAGGGAAAAAAAACATCCCACAAAAACCCAGAACTTGACCGTACATACTTCGGGTGATAAAGACACAACAGAATCGGGGGTGGATGCATCAGAACCAGTAAGCAAAATGCATGGATTTTACACGACACAGGATTGAGATAATAACCGAACAACACTGATAAAAAGCACACAGCATAGGCAGATGTACATTAACACACTCAAGACACAGACACCACAGCAATGCTGCCACAAACCTGGAAGGGACAAGGAAAAGACATCCTGCTTTCTCAGCCTCTTCCTGTATACTTTACATAAAATCGTTGGTTTATATCCGTGTAGCTCCTTCTCATTCCTAAAGATTATAAGTCAAATAATGGAGTGTGTATACATGTGTGAGTGTGTGTGTGTATGTGTGTGTGGTGGGACGGGAGGGAAGCTTCCCCTTCTGGGTCGCGTTTGTTTTATTTTGGGGGTGGAGAGAGGAGGGGTAAGTAAGACGGTGGGGGAGGGGAGGGGAATCCCAAATTAAAACAGCCCCGAAAGTATCAGGACGTTCTGGCAGCAGATATTCACAACAACAACAATAAAATTAAATTAACATTCGCCAGATGGCGGCTGGTACAACTTTATAGGATCATAGTAAGTCGGACTGTAAGAGTGAGACACTAAGAGGCAGAGAGATGAGAGTGAAAGGGGGGGGAGGGAAGAGACAGAGACAGAGGGAGGAAGTGAGAGACTTTTTTTTTCTTTTCTCTCTCACTCTTTTTAAAGAGATTGGGAAATTAAGAAAAGGAAGGGAAAAACACAAAGCAGGGCCATAAAGCATTTTAATAAAGACGAGAACTCGGGAGTAAACCAGGGTAGGCGACACAAATGGGAGAAGGCGAGGTTTTAGTAGGGTATGGGTGAGAAACCTGGGGAAGGACCCCAGTTCTAGCTCACCTGTTTCTGACGAGGAGGTCTCCGTCCCCTGGGAGGGGCACCGGGGAATCCCGAAGAAGGGTAATTGCTTCTCGGAAGTTTGGGCTCAGCTGGGTCACCACCAGCTTCTGCATGAACTTGGCGATGGAGGAGCCCTGGAAATCCAGAAAGTGGCGTGCGTAGGACATGTCCACGATAGGCCGGGCGGTGGCAGGGGCGGTTGGCAGCCAGGGATCGGCGTGGCAAATCTGCCGGCGGGGTGGCGGCGGCTGCTGCAACAGCGGTGCGGAGCCCCAGCACCTCGGCCACAGAGAAACCCGGCTCCTTACAATTGCAGCAGCAGCAGGAGCAGCAAGAGCAGGAGCAGGAGCCGCAGCCGCAGCCGCAGCCGCAGCCGCCCTCATCGCCCCCCTGCCCGCGACCTCCTGTCTTTCCTTCTCACCTATGCAACCTTTGCCCAAGTCCCCTCCCCCTCTCCTACACACACACTCACTCACATTCACTCTCCAAGCCCGGATCTTGCACAACACAGAAGAAGGTGTTTTCTTTCTTTTTTTTCTTCCCCTAAGCAGAGGCAGGTCTGCCCCTCCTCCACAACCCTTCGCTCTCCTCCCCCACTTCGACTCAAACCCCCTCCCCTTCTTCCTATTCCACACCCTACCCCCCTCCCTCCCCAAACTCCTCCAGAGAGAGAAAGGGGTCCACGATCTCTCTTCCCCTTTGCCTTACGAGATTTGTGTATGTAAATACAGACTGCGCAATGAAGCCGCCCCGCAGCCTGTTGGCGTCCTTCTTGTGCAAAGCCCGGCTACACAACTCAGAAACAACAGACGCCCCCACGCCCCCTCCTCGGATGATCTTCCGTACAGCCTCGAACTTGAAATGAACAAGTTCAGCTCGCTTGCCCCGGCCCCGGCTAAAGAAAAAGAAAAGGAATAAAGAAAAAAAATAGCCAAAATAATCCCCCTTCCCCCCCCAAAAAATCTCAGGTCTTGCAAAACCTCTCTTTGGTTGCTGCTGTGCCTGTGTGCGTACACACTCGTTTGTGAGAACCTAAAATCCCAGCCACACCACGACACACAATCACCCTACACTACACATATCCCTATGAGCCCAGACGATCGGAACGGTGCAGCCAAGGGGGCTCTGCTATTGCTCAGTTTACGGGAGAAAAAATGTGCCCCCCCCTCCCCTATTCCTGCAACTCCGATCCGCCCCCCCCATCCACTTCTCCTTTAATGTTTCTGGTTTGTTTTGTTTTGAAATCTGCACGCCAAGGGATTCTCTCTTCCCACCCTTCCAAGAAATGCGCCGGATATTCCCACTCCTCTGGACTGTCTCGGTATTAAAAAAAAAAAAAAGATTAAAAAAAAGACGGATTGCACTGCTCTGAAAAGAAAAAGAGAGAAAACAAAATGTTATAAGATCAATAAACCTAGAGTGGAGAAGTTGCAGCTAATCTAATGTTGTTATTAGGAGCTGCAGAAATGCTGGGGCTGCTGTCACAGGCGCCTCCCCTTCCCGTGCGAAATGTTCACTTCCTTGCAAGGTGGTACGAATCAACCCAGAGCCACTTAGCAACCACCAGCAGAGCGGTGATCTTGGGAAGAGGGAAAGCATCATAGTTTAGGCAACGGTTGCCGCCCTGTTCACTATGTCCTTAACTTCTTTCCAAAAAGAAAAGAAGGTCCCTGCTGAATGTTATGGTAATGATTATTATTTTGGGGTGGAGGGTACATCATCTATCTCTCCTTGCACTTCCTCCTCCCAACTTCTACTAGGTTTTACAGCCTTCTTGTCTACCGAATTCCATTCCCACCCTTGCACATGTCCCATGAAAGTATCTTTAACTGTTACTGTATTTATTTTGGCCTAGATTTCTCGTTGTAGCTTCTGCACGATTTGCCACTGGGAGAAAAAGCACGTGTTGGAAGCTAGTGGGCCAAACTCCCAGAGCACATAAACATGTTGAACTTCTAGATGGTGATGCTGAGGGAGTTAATTGAATTGGAGATATTGCAATGATGTATGAAGAGTTCATTTTATAACTCAGCTAGAATGATCTCCAGTACTATAGTGTCAATTCACTTCTTAATTGCATGCTATTGACCAAAAAATCAATTCACTTTTCATAGAGGAGCCAAATTAAGTATTTTCAACAGTCTTCTATGATGAACTGGGTCTATGATTTAAAATTTTGCATATTTAAAATAACCAGAAAAATATCCATTTTTTTTTTGCGGTGTAGGAAATAGAATGTATCAACATGCCCCCAACTCCCCAAACAAAACCCCAAAACACCCCACCCCCAATCCCTCAAAGCTAAGCAGTCATAACAAATGTTAAAGGGGGCTACAATCTCAAATATGGGAGTCCGTGGGTGTGTGTGAAAAGACGACCAAAGAAGCTGTAACATGCCTTTTAAACCAGTAGAAAGTAGATCTCTGCCTAAGTTGGCTTGGAATACATAGGTCTTACACAGAATATTAGCAAGTGGATTATAATGACAAAACCCCCAAATGCCTGTCTCACATGTGAAATCTTTTATATTATACTGTATTAAGATTTCTTTTTCTGTCATATTGTTTAGCCCTAGGAAAAAAAAAGAAAACAAAGCAATTAAAAAGATTGACAGGTATGGTTTGTGTGAGACCTATTTGTAATTGTCAGGGTGACGTTGGCAAGAGGAGGAGGAGTAAAAACTGAAGCAGGAAAAGCAGCTCGATGTGTCTGTCTATCAGTTGAGACTGTCTGAAAGCTCTGGGATCAGAATGTGTGTTATATTTCACTGAAAAGAGAAGAGAGGGAGAGTGGATCTCTTTCTCTCCCAGGAGTTTAAAGGGGGGGGAAAACAGTTCATGTTCATCTCTCCCACCTAGTGAATGTCTTCTCTTCGCCCCCTCCCCCCCTTTTGCACACATTTTCCCGGTTGGTGGTTTTTTTGTGTGTTTTTTTTGAAAGGGGGGGTGTGCTTTTTGTGTTATGTGTGGGGTTTTTTTTTTTCTGTTGAAGATCAAGATCGACCAAAAAACATGATAAAAATATGTTTTCATTATGTTTAGTATTCGAAGAAGCTGCGATCTTGGAGGAAAAAAAAAACGGGGGGAGGGTGGCACAGCGAGGCAGAAAGTAGTGTTCCGGTGGTGGTGACACTGTTTGATCTGTGACTGTTTGGAAGGTGGAGCAGTGCCTGACATTTCCCATCCGGTGTATGTATGTATGTATGTATGGGGGCTTTACTCGTTATTATTTGCTTTCTTGCTCTTAGACTAAGTGCTGGGAGGAAAAGGAGAGACTGGATCGACCTCAGTGTTGCACGATGAAAAAGCTATTATCCGCGCAATAAAAAACACAAATCCACGACCCCTCAACCTAGAGAGGGGGAGAAAAAGAGGGGGAGAGGGAGAGAAAGTTGCGCTTTGAGACTCTTTGATCTTGGAGAAAGGCTTCAGGGGGGAGTGCCTGAAATTACCATCTCGTCGCTGCTGTTTTCTCAAGCTCTCCCAAGAAGAAGTGATTAAGGCAGGAGACGAAGAAAAAGAAGGAAAAAGGATGGATCTATGCTGCAATTCGAACTGATTTGTGCGCGCTGCTTTTTTTTAAAATTACTATTACTGTTGTTGTTGTTGTTGCTGCTGATGATGATTGTTCCTGTCTGAAAATTATCTCCAACTGCACCTTTCTCTTGCCCGGCGGCGAGAGACACAAGACGAAGGCTGCTTCTGGAATTTTTTAAAAATATAAATAGGAACTTATGAAGACGGCGAGAAGAAACCTCTGTAAATGAAAACATTTCCTAAGCAAGTTTTTGGAGTGGTGGCGGCGGCGGAAACAGGCAGCAGCGTGCGGTGTGCCTCCCCCCCACCCCACCTCCACGGCCCCCCTCCGCACCCCGCTCGGTACCGCAGGGAGCTGACCGGGGGGGAGACACCAGCCAAACAGAAGAAAATACCACCCAGCCAAACCACCAAACTTTTGTTTTCCCCCCCTCCTCTTCCTCCTCCTCCTCCTCCTCCTCCTCCTCCACCTCCTCCTCCTCCTCCTGCTCCTGCTGCTGCTGCTGAGCACAACTAGGAGTTGCATTCCCCCCCACCCTCTTCTTTTCAGCTTTATATTCCTCTCCCCTCTCCCCCCTCCCCCCACGTTTTCCTCCCTATGTGTATGTGTTTTGTTTCTTCTGCATGAAAAGAGTGGGATTGGAGACGTCCTGCGGAAACTCTCCAGCGGCAGCGGCGGCGGCGGCGGCGGCGGCGTTGGTGGCAGCCTCAACAGCATGCCGAGGAGAAAGCAGCAAGCACCCCGGCGCTCGGCAGGTAACACCCCTCCTTCTCCCCCCTCCTCCCCCTCCGGTTCCCCTCTCCTTCCCCCCTCTCTCCCTCGCACACTTTACCGCACTCTCTCTCATTGCATCCAAGCAGCCACCAACTCCAGCCAGCACCATAGGGAGC